ACAGTTCAGCATGAATTTTGATCAGTGATGTAGTGGTAATTCAGAGTGGCCATGTATTAACAATTCAGCATTGCATCACTTTGTAAACTGAACAAAATGGGGGCTGGTAGGGAAGAGGGTAGGGGATAATGGCAAAGGAGGATGTGACATACTACAAAAGGAAATATACCTAGTTTGACCCTCTACTGTGTGGATACTTACAACATACCTTCTTGGGATAGGTAAACATTTCTTCGTGAGCAACAACCACAATTTGATCTAGTGCAAAGTGCTAGGGTGCGCTGTAGAACATTTTGTGTCAACCCAGGCCAATCTCCTATGTAGTTGCCTCCTAAGCCTTCTTGGCTATCCTAATGGCAATTCTAACTAGAGTAGACCCACTGAGTCAATACGGAAGTCCCATTAATCTCATGGATTTTATCCTACTAATAAGATTCTGGCCATCATTTTTATTGTTTTATGGAAGATTGCAGCTTCAGTGTATCGTCTAGTTTAGCTCTAATATTAGGGAAGCTAGGGGCAAGTCAGACAGAGACTTACTCAACACATTTGTATGAAACCCTTTCTTTTATTATGACTAGGATACATATACATCATGCGGTCTCCCAACCTCAGGACAACCCTGCAGTATATGATTGTGAACAGACAAAACTACAGTGGTGCCTCGCACAACGAGTGCCTCACACAACGATAAATTCACACAACGATGGCTTTTTCTGAAAAATTTGCCGCCTCACACAACAATGTGTCCTATGGGGAATTTTTGCACAACGATGTCTCTTTTCACTCATTTAAAAGTGCCTTAAACTGTTTGAAACCTGTTTTAAATGCTTGGCATCAATAGTCCAGCTTGTGAAATGTAAGCAAACTTAATTTGGTGTTGTTCTGAGTCTTCGTTGGCTTTCAAAGGAGAATAAAAAAATTCACCAAAAATTAACGAAGACTCAGAACAACACCAAATTAAGTTTGCATAGGTTTCAGGAGGTGGGCTAATGATTGCAAGCATTTAAAACAGGTTTCAAACAGTTTAAGACACTTTTACAGGAGCGAAAAGGGACTTCACAAACCCATTCAAATGCATTGAGTCGGCTTCAATGCATTTCAATTGGGTAACCCCGTTTCCCTCAACGATGTTTCCTATGCCGATTTTCACTTAAGGACGGCAATCCGTTCCAATTGGAACGGATTAACTGGTTTTCAATGCATTCCTATGGGAAATGGTGTTTCACAGAACGATGTTTTCACAGAACGGTGTTTTTTTGGAACCAATTAACATCGTTGTGCGAGGCACCACTGTATAACGGGAGGCAGAAATACCAGCTCCATGTATGGCTGATTCTTGATTTTCATGATATGGAAGGCATGGATAATCATGTATTATAGAAACACAGCTCCCCGTGGGAGCTTGTGAGAAATTTTACATCAGTAATATATCTTGACTAGACATGGGGACGAATTTAAAAAATGCATTGCGATATTCGTCTAAAATAGCTGATTAGTTAAATATTTGTCCCTTCATATTTGTGTGTTCCAGAGATCCTCACGAATACGAAGGGATGAATATTTCCCCATTTTTATTCTATGGCTTTTCCATTCTGCCAACCAGCCTACCAATCAGCTGATTGGCAGGCCGATAGGCAGCCACCCACCCCCACAGCCACCAAACCGCAGAGTCTACCCCCACCCCTTCCTCTCCTGACCTTAGCCCCACCCCACCCCCACTGACATCCCCTTGTCATAATTATTGTCGCTGCTGCTGAGGTCTTCATCAGGCCTCCACAGCCACAGCCTGTAGAAAGGGAAACTGGCTGCCCTTTGCAAAGATGGCAGCTGCGGCTTCATTTAGGGTAGGGAAGCTGCAGCTGCCTTAAGGCAGGCTAACTGGTGTGTGTGTGTGTGGGGGGGGGTTAGTGACCCCTATGAATCAATGAATAAATTCATTATTTGTCAGTTCATGGGGGTAACTTGGTGCTTCATGAGTTGTCAACTTTTTTGACCTTATTTGACTCTGTCAAGATTAGAAATGGGGACAGCTTACCATTTCGGTGCAGTTTGTGGGAATGCACCAGAGCACAGAGTTCTGACTCCTGTCCTCTGAAGATCCCGGCCACAGAGACTGGCGAAACGTTAGGTAGGAAGAAAAACCTTGAGAACATGGCCAAACAGCCCGAAAAACCTACAACAACCATCAGAACCTGTCCATGAAAGCCTTCAAGAATACATTAGCCTGAGATGTTTTGCCGCCTGAGGCAAAGGACTGAATGGTGCATGCCTTCTATTCTGCATACAGTGTAGTGCTTCAGCACTCCTGATGAGACACAATGTTTCACCACAGCTGATTATAGCTTAATTTAGTGGGTTCAAGATAGGCTGAGTAGCCATAACAGCCATTGCTTTGTTCTCCAAAATCTTGCCACCCCATCCCACCATATCTTTTCTGAAGGACCTGCTTCATTTTTTCTGACAGGTGGGCTGCCCAGCTTGGGCAGCAAGGAATGTAAAGTAAGAATGTCAGTCCGGGATGGTTTCAGAAAAGGTCTGGATTAAAGATGGGGGGAAAATGACGATTCATTTTGATCTGTTCTTCATCAAGGTTAACGGATCAATGAATATGAATATACAAATACAGTGGTGCCTCGCTTAGCGATTACTTCATTTAACGTCGAAATCGCTTAGCAATGACTTTTTCAGAGCGTTTTTACGCTTCGTTTAACGATGGTCCCTATGGGCGATTTTCGCTTAGTAATGATTGGGACCATGCTTCGCATAGCAATTAAATTTTGGGTCCCCTGTTTCGCTTAATGATGGTTTAAACAGCCTCATGTTTGCTGTTTTTTAAATGTTTTTCTGTTATTTATAAAGTTAAAGTTTACTGTTTAAAATGTTTGAAATCATAAAGTGCACTTAATAAACCCTTTGTTAACCAAATTTGACTTTGTTCTGACTCTTTTTTAATTTGTTGTTGTATTTCCCCCCCCCATTGAGATGCATTGAATAGGTTTCAATGCATTTCAGTTGGGGAACCGCGTTTCGCTTAGCGATGTTTCCTATGGCGATTTTCGCTTAAGGATGACAATTCGTTCCTATTGGAACGGATTATCCGGTTTTCAATGCATTTCACTGGGAAACTGCATTTCGCTTAGCGATGAAATCGCTTGGTAGCATTTTTTTGGGAACCAATTAACATCGTTAAGTGAGGCACCACTGTATTATTCGACAAATCGATGAATCGATCCATTGATTCATCTGCACTTTAAATAGCTATAACACTGTCCCCAATCACCTAGAGACATCAGCGTTGCAGGAAAGCTTCCTCAGATGCTTTTCTACAACCCCTGAAAGTTTGGTGAACATTGGATCACAGACCCCGTGATACATAGTCATAAAGAGGACCATCCCCAGGAAAGCTCACCCCAGGTACTTAGAGATTCCAGAATCACAAGGGAGCTTCCTATGTATTTCCCCAACATGCCTGCCAACTTTAGTGAAGACTGGATATCGGACATCCAAGTTATTCACTCACAAATTGGGTCCCCCCAGAGAGTTTACCACATGGCATAGAAGCCCATTTTGCCTACCAGCTGCTGACCATCTGATCAGAAGCCGATAGGCAGACATCCCTTCCCCCACACAGCCAGCAAGCTAAGGAAATCTTTGCCCTTTGCAAAGATGGCAGCTAAAGCTTCATTACCCTAAATGAAGCTGCAGCCACCATCTTTCCAAAGTCTCCATTTTTACATGCGTGGCTCCGAGGCCAGAAGACCTCGGCAGCAGCAATTAAGGTAAAAGGGTATCGGTGTGTGTGGCGTGGGGCCTAAGGTAGGGAGAGGGGGTAGGCTATGGTTTTGGGTGGCTGTGTGGGGTGGTGGCTGCCTGTTTACCGCTGATCTGCTGATTGGCGGCCAGTAGGCAGAATTGGTTTTTTTTAATATGAAGGTCAAATAAAAACAGGTAAATATTCATCTCTTCGTATTTGTGGGGGTCTCTGAAACCGACAACTACAAATCGACAAATATTTAATGAATCAGCTATATTCGTCGGAAAAAACGATCCGTTTTTATATTCATCCCTATCTCTACTCTGGGTATACCCTTATTCCAACAATAGAACCAAAGAGTTCTGCTCTTGACCACAATAACCACTCACCCACCATGTCTCCTACTCCTGCTTTGATAATGTGTTTTCCTCACATTTCCCCTTTCTAGACTTCTGCCATAGCTCTATTTCTAGGTTGTTCTTTAAGTCCTAAAACACATCGAACATCATCTCCCTCCAGTAATCACCCTGTGCATTTTACTCTGGAGTTGTGTAAGGCAGTATAGCAACATCATTGCATTTTAGGTGCTCTTATGAGAAGCAGCATTGCATAGGAGAAGGTTCCCTGTTCAATCCCTGACATTTCCAGTGAGTAAGAAACTGTTGAAATTGTTGAGCTAGACAGAAGAGTAGTGTCAGTGCAAGGCAGCTTCCTGTTTTCACTGGTTCTAATAATGTACCACTTAGTGCTGTCCTGGTACTATTTGTGAATGTTTACATTTCAGTTCTGATTCCTGTCTGCAGTGATCATGAGTAAAAATTAGGCACTGCATGTAACACATCTCTAAGGTCAATTGCCTTTTCACTAATTCATATATGATTTTACTAAATCAGAGCTGGATTTCCTTGTGGCTAACAGGGCAATTCCCTACTCTTCTTACACTCAACAGAAAAGGAGACCTACTGACTTCAGGCTGAATTGGGACTTCACACTCCGTAATGACTGCTTCAGAATCCTTTGAAAACTTGGCTTTGACTCTAAAGCCAAAACATTCCCACGGCCCAGTTTCTATTTCAGGGCTTCTGTGTCTATTTAAAATCCATAAAAATGTGAGATCTGTACTCTGAAGGGGCTGTGCTGTGCTTTTCCTTCTAGACAAAAAAAAAATGCAAAACTACATGGCAACATATCTCTAGATCACGTTATTTAAAAAAAATGATGATTTTGAACCAGTGATGATTGCTTGACTGCTGGAAGGTCCTATTTGGATATTGAGAAACTCAATAACATTTTAGTACTTAAAAAAGAAGAAAAAGGAGAAGGGGCATTCCAGCAAGATTCTCACACAAAGTAAAAGAACTAGGTTAAAAATAAGAAAGCTAACAGATGTTATAAAAAGAAGGATGTTGATAACAGAGAGAGGCTAAACTGAAATGAACAACAAGGGCTGCGCTTAACAATACAACTTTTCTCAGGAAACCTAAGTCTCCGGTGACAATTAAGAGCCACAACAAGACAGGATGCATATGGATCCAACTGCTGAGCACAAGGGATATGGGAGGCAAACAATCTCTGTTTCATTGTCTTAATATGTGCTTTGTAAGACTTACTTACGCAACCTGAGCTTGCAACAGGGAAGATCACTGCATTCATTGCTCCTACGTTCTGTAAAGATGGAAACTCTCCTTCAGATCTTCTGGCTCGTGTTGCTTTTGGCAGTGATGGCCCAGCCCAGTGAAGAGGTTGAAGCTTTGTGTGCTGGCACCACTTGCTATACACTCAACTTCGGGAGGCTCAACTGGATGGATGCTCAGCAAAACTGCAAAAACAATGGGGGCAACCTGATGACTCTGAAGAGCCGAGAGGAGGCTTTGCTGGTTCCTGAACTGCTGGGCAAGATGCCCCCAGGCACAACTGGCACAGACATGGAGGTAAAAATATGGATTGGGCTCCATCGAGAGAAGGGCAAATGCTACCAGCACCACCAGCCGCTGAAGGGCTTCATCTGGGTGACAGGAGGTGAGGAGACTAAATACTCTAACTGGGGACGGGAGCCTATGGGTACCTGCTTGACAAAGAAGTGTGTTGTCCTTCAGCAGACTCCTTCCTCTTCTGAGGGGCTGGTCTGGGCAGATACCTCATGTAGTCGTATTGCTGAAGGCTACTTGTGCAAGTTCAGCTTCCAGGGGATGTGCCGGCCACTTGTACTGGCGGGGCCAGGGACTGCCAAATACACCACCCCATTTGGCGTGACTACTACTTCCCTTGTAGCAGTGCCTTTTGGCTCCTCAGCTGAAGTGGTGTGTGGCCCCAAGGGAGAGGAGAAGACTAACACCTTCCTTCTGTGCAAGCCGCAAGCAAACAGCAATATCTCTGAGTGGAGCAGCCCAGGGCCATTTTGTGCTTCCCCTGCATATGGCTGCAGTTACAGCAATGGGGGTTGTGAGCATGAATGCCTGGACCTAGGCGGGGGCTTGTTTCAGTGTGCTTGCCATTCAGACTACCAGCTTGGAGGAGACCAGCTTTCCTGTGTCCCTGTGGACTACTGTAGCTCTAACCCATGCCAAGGACAATGCATCCCACAACAAGGAGGCTTTACGTGCGCCTGCTCTGTGGGTTATATGCTGGCAGATGATGGGCTGAGATGTGTGGATGTGGATGAATGCAGCATTCCCCAACACCCCTGCGAACAGATCTGCATTAACACAATGGGCAGCTTCATGTGCCACTGCAAGCAAGGCTACCAGCCTTCAGGCCCAGATAACCGGACTTGTCAGGACATTGATGAGTGTGCCAGGGACAAGCCATGTGAGCAGCTTTGTGTCAATACACCAGGCTCCTTCCTCTGCTCCTGCCAGCGAGGCTATCAACTAGAGGGCATCAACGGCAATTCTTGTCTTGATGTGGATGAGTGCCAGGAGGAGCTTTGTGAACACATGTGCATCAACCATCTAGGTAGCTACCAGTGCTCTTGCAGGTCTGGCTGGATTCTGGCCCCCAATGAAGTTTCTTGCCTCCCTGACACTACCAGTAGCACCTTCTCTCCTCCCACCCAGAGAGACAGAGAACAGGCGAGTCCAATGAACAGGGATCATGTTTCAGAGGCTCCAGCCCTGCTACCTGACTCTTCTGTTCCAGCTGAACAAGACAAAGCCCTTGTATCGCAAGATTCTACCTCCCAGACAAGTGTATTCAACAGCCCACTGGATGCTAACAACCATGTCAGAGATGATCACACAGACAACAATAGTGGCAGCTTGAAGCAGCTCCTGTACTACACTTTGGGTGGGGTGGCTGCCTTTTTACTGTTGGCTTTAGTTCTCAGCGGAGTCACCTACAAGAAAATGAAAGCCAAGGACGCCAAGAAAAAATCAAAGAGTGCAGCGGACAATTACTCTTGGGTGCCAGATCAGGGGGAGAGCAGGGTAGGAAGTAATGAATACATGTAGTCAACACTGTGTTTTTTTTAATGTAACAGTGACTGTGAAGAAGGAACAGAGAGGAGGAAATTATGTAAAAGGGGGAAGTATATTTTTACATCACAGTTGGCTAGGGGAAAGCAGAGACAGGGTTTTATGGCAACCACAGCAAATTGTTCACCCATGGTACAAGTCTGGTTTTGTAACTCACTTTATAGTTGTTTTTACCTTGCAGTCACTGTGCCTCATCTGTTAAGCTTTATGAAGAGTAGAGATGACATTGACAACCCTCCTGGGTCTTCCCGCTGCTTTGTCTTTTCCTATAGAAAGTATGAGGGGATGTTAGAATAGCTGCATGCAGTCTTTTGACAGGTAGTGCAAAGAGCTATTTGGAAGCACCCACAGAACAGCAAGTTGGGTCAACTTTCCCTTGCAGCTCCTTGATCTATGCATTAAGTATTCCTTTCTAAAATATCACAGGCACATTCAAATGTGCATTTTTCATCTTTCGCCCATCTTTACCTCCAAATGAAACACCAAGAATACAGTTGTAGAATTCTGTCAGGGTCAAGGGGAATAACATACATAAGGACACCCAGTAAGCACACCCCATAGTCACCTGTTTTCTATTCTTGCAAAAATCCTCAGAGGCAAACTTGGAGTGAGCCAGGGCCGGACTGGGACCAAAAATCGGCCCTGGCATTTAGAGCACAC